CTTGTCCTTTCTTTCCCCCCCTTGTTCTTTCTTCCCACTTCTTGTCCTTTCTTTTGCCCCCCTTGTCCTTTCTTTTGCCCCCCTTGTCCTTTCTTTTGCCCCCCTTGTCCTTTCTTTTGCCCCCCTTGTCCTTTCTTTTGCCCCCCTTGTCCTTTCTTTTGCCCCCCTTGTCCTTTCTTTTGCCCCCCTTGTCCTTTCTTTTGCCCCCCACCCCTCATTGTCACGTTTCTTTTGAACCCCCTTGTCCTTTTCTTTTGCTCCCCCCCCTTTCCTTTCTTTTGCCCCCCTTGTCCTTTCTTTTGCCCCCTTGTCCTTTCTTTTGCCTCCCTTGTCCTTTCTTTCTCCCTCCCCTGTCCTTTCTTCGCTCCCCTTCTTTTTTCCCCTTCTCCTTTCTTTTTTCCCTTTCTTTTTCCCCCTTCTCCATTCTCTTTCCCCTCTTCCCTCTCTTCACACACCCATCCCATCCCCTCTGTTATTCCTGGCCACACAAAGCACCCAAAGTCGGGGCTCGGGGCGAGCCGAGGGGCTCGCTGAGCTCAACAGGATGGTTTGCTCAGAGGGAGACGACCAACCGAGGAAGTTGCCTTTATCTTCCCCCCCCTCCCCGTGGGTCAAAGGCTCCTAATCTGGAGGAGGGAGCCCGGCGCTCCCCTCGGCGGCCGGGGGCTGATAACCCCGCGGGGAGGGCGCGGGGGGCTGCGGGCTTGGCTGCCGGGAGGCCCGGGAAGGAAAGGGAGGCTCTGCCTGAGCTCAGCTCCCCGCCTGCCCAGGCAAACAAAGCACGAAAATAATGGCAGAGCTTTGTCTTCCGGTGGAATAGAAAAGGGTTGGACGGAATGAGGGTTTTCTCGGGGTGCTGCCGCTGGGGGGGGGATGAACCCATTCCCCCCTTCTCCTTCCCTGCTTGGCTTTGGGCTTCCTCACCCAGCGAGGAAGGAGAAGGCTGGAGCAGTTCTCCACCACTATGGTAGTTATCCATAGATGTATAAGGGGTATCTTTCCCCAGCTGCCTCTCACCACTGCCCACAGACACTCTCTTGGGCAGAGCCCCATGAAAAGTCAGTTTTCCTTCAGCAAAAAACCCCCCAATTCCTCGCTCAATCACTCAGAAAGCGCTTACTCCAAGCTTTTAGTTGTGCTCAGGGGCAGGTAGGATGGCTCCTTCATCCTAGATAGAGAGAAATAATTGTTTTGCAAATGGAGACAAGTCATTTAGCACCCCAGATAAATCCCGGATGCTTTCCTGGAAATGTAAAGTAGGAAACTCCTAAACCTGCATGAAACAATTGGGTTTCCTCCATCCATCAGTTGGCTGGAGAGATGCAGGGAGTGGAGCTGGGCTGGAGAAGAAAGAGTGTTTCACCGTAACTAGGGAGAAAAGAAAATACTTCCCTACCCTTTAAAATAGGAGCCCTTTCTCTCTCTT